GGCAGTGGATTGCTCTAGCTCAGGAGTTCAAGACCAGCCTGAGCAAGAGTGAGACCCTGTCTCTACTAAAAATAGAAAAACAGGTGGTACACACCTGTAGTCCCAGCTACTTGGGAGGCTGAGGCAAGAGGATCACTTGAGCCCAAGAGTTTGAGGTTGCTGTGAGCTATCATGATGTCATGGCACTCTACCCAGGGCGACAGGGTGACAGTGTGAGCCTCTGTCTCAATAAATAAATAAATAAATAAATACACACATAATGAAGATAGTGCTAGAGATGTGTGCAAGGTTCTGCCTTGGTCTTCTGGTGCTACTTAGTTCTCAACACACTTCCTTCTAGAACCTTCTTAATCTTGAATATCTAAAGTTTGGTTTTGCTTCTCTATAAGTGAAATTTCCTTGTTATACATCAACTTTCTTCTTGAAAATTGTCATTGAACTGTGATTCGATTACTTTTATTAAAACCAGTGTTTCCCAGAATGCGGTGTACATTACACAGCCGAGGGGCGCGCTCGAGGACGTTGAGTGATACGTAAGGATAAGCTTGTTTGAGTAGTTAGGCATTTATTTGAATGTGCAATAAGATGATACTAATTTTCCACTTTTGGTGATGAAGTCTCCTTCTTAAGTAAATTTAAGTTTATTTAGGTAAAGTGTTGTCAAATAAATGACAGCCCAGGGACACTCAGCTGTGGCAAGGTTATGCAGGTTGTGTGCAGACGAGGATGGTGAGGATGCAGAAACCACTTGTCTTGCTTGCCACAGTCATCTGGGGATGACTCCATGCTCAGACACTGGCACCCTGGGCTAGCTCTTCAGGTCACTGTGCATTTAATTTTTGGTCTCTATTTATTCTTCGAGAGCCATAGGTTTTACCCTTCTCCAAGTCTCTTAAGTCCCCTGCCTTTGGCTTCCTGATCTTGAGATGCCACCCTCGATTCTGGAGGCCACTACAAGATGGGGAAATCTTTTCTGCGTTTTCCCTAGAGTTTGGGGAGCGTCATTGTTGCTAGTATTGTCACTGTCATCGTTGTTGTTGACCATTTCCCCCATCAATCTGGTATTGTAAGCACCCGTGTCTGTAAACAACAGCTATGTTTAATAACTAACAGCTCTGTCAGGTACCTCCTTCAGAGCTGTTCTCATATGGAGGAAGAAAGTTTTCAAAGTCACAGTTTTCAAATTTATAATTGCTGTAAGTTGGACGATAAAGCTAAAGAAAAAGAAAACGAAGTTTAGTCCATCTAATCAGGCCTGTTAAGCCATACCAACATGCAGACCCGCGCCCACCTCTGGCTGCAGAACTTTGCTGGTGCCACATCTCTCTTGCACACCTGTTTCACACTTCCCTATGTCTTGGCTAACCTCTTATGTGTTTCTTCTTCCGCTTCTAGGGAATCTTTGGACGGGCAGTGCCTGTATCATGATCTCTCATTCAACACATAATTTCTGAGTCTCCAGTACGGAGCAGGCCTGGGAAGTTGGAAGAAGATGACACCAAGTCTCTGCTTTACGCAACTTGTTATCTTTGCATTTCTCAACATCTAGCATAAGTGTATTAGTTATCTACTGCTGCGTAACAAGTTAACCCAAAACTTAGAAGCAGAAAACAAACAGGAATTTATTCCTCACATAGTTTTTGAGGAAGCCATGGGTGTAGAAGGAAAGCCAGGATTTTATTAATTTTTTTATAACTGCAAATTTTGCACACAAATATGTTTTTTTTTGTGTGTGTGTGTATATACATAAATTCTAATCTGGGAGGAAACTGGGAGTAGCTTAGTTAGGTAGCTGTGGCTCAGGGTCCCTCCCAAGGTTGCAGTCAAGATTTTGACCAGGGTGCCATCATCTGAATGCTCCCTGGCATGGCTGTCAGCTGAAAGCCTCAGTGCCTGACCACCTGGGCCTCTCCATGGGTGTTCATGAATGACACAGTAGTTGGCTTCCTCTCTAATGAATATTCTGAGAGGGAGAGGGTGAGCAGGAAGGAAACTGCAGTGTCTTTTGTCTCATCTCTGAAATGACACACTACCACTTGGATTAATCCCATGGCCCATCCCTGGTGCAACGTGGCAGGGGATTCATTACCTGGGGGGCAGGGATTGTGGCAGCATCTTGAAGGCTGCCTACCAGAGTAGTGCAATCAAGGGCGAGTGCTCAATAAATGTCTCTTCTAGTTTGTATCCCTGCAATCCTTAAGGCAAAACCTCTACTTTCATTTTTCATAATCTTTATTTTTTAGAACTATTTTAGGTTCACAGAAAAATTACATGAAAAATACAGAGAGTTTCCATGTACCCCCACCCTGACACACACACAGCCCCTCACTGTCAAGTTTCCCCACCAGAGTGGTACCTTTTTTAGAATCAGAAATAAATTTCTGTTTGTTTTCTGCTTCTAAGTTTTGGGTTAACTTGTTACGCAGCAGTAGATAACTAATACACTTAGGCTAGACGGTGAGAAATGCAAAGATAACAAGCTGTGTAAAGCAGAGACCTGAGTGTCGTCTTCTTCCAACTTCCCAGGCCTGGTCCATACTGGAGACTCAGAAATTAGGTGTTGAATGAGAGATCATGATACAGGCACTGCCTTTCCAATGCTTCCTATGCTGATATACCATTGTCACCCAGAGGCCATCATTTTCATTAGGGTTCATGCTTGGTGTTGTGCATTCTGTGGGTTTGGACAGATGTATAATGACTTGTATCCACCATGACAGCATCACGCATACCAATTTCACTGCCCTAAAAATCCTGTGTGCTCTGCCTGCTCATCTCTCCCTCCTGCCTAAGCCCTGGCAACCTATTTCTGCCATCTCCATAGTTCTGCTTTCCCCCAGAATGTTGTATAGTTGTAATCATATAATATGTAGCCTTTGAGATTGGCTTCTTACATTACATTAAAGGTAATAAAGGTAATACGAATTTAACATTTCTTCATGTCTTGTCTGGGCTTGATAGTCCGTTTATTTTATTTTGTAATTTTTTTAACAAAAAAGGAAGCATATCTTTTGCTCTGGCTTGGCGATTGTATCATTTTGGACTGTTTTTAATCATTCACTAAGCTTAACTCATTCGAGTGGTTTACCCAGCTAACGCACTGCTGCCACTTGGAAAAAAAAAGGCAATAAGTGTGTTTTGGGCAGCCTTAGTAACTCGTCTTTCTCTTAAATTGTCCTCTTTCCTTTGCAATTCCATTCTCTGAGCCTCTTGCCAGACCATTCATGTTCTGCTTGTCTAACCACGTGTGGAAAATCAGTTTGAAACCCTTATTACAGTCGATTTAAAATAGATTTGGTTTGCTGTGTGAAGTAGCCAAGTCTTGCTGAAAGGACTGAGCTGTCTCAGAGGAAGGTCTATGTTCCCTGTGTTGGTTGACTGAGGGGCCTGACTATTAAATAGGAGCCTCAGTTAGAGGGCAAGGGAACTATCTTAATGGCAATAGATGTCATTGCAATGTGGCCCACTCCTACAGTGAGTAGCACCCACATGACGGAGGCAACACTCAAGTTAGCTATTGATGGCTGTGAGATTTTCTTCCTCCTGTTCTGCCATGAGGCTAGTGAGGAAGCAGGACTCAGAGCATGAGAGCCGAACAACCATCAGGAGAATGAAAACTGGGGCTTATGTAACATGGTACAATGGTATTTTCACCATTCTGACTCTTGAAGAGGAAAGACTTTTCTCTGATAAGTTACAGACATCTAGGGCCTTTTACCAGTGAAACTTACATATTTAGGGGCAAAACAGGGTTTTAGATCCTACTGTGTAGTAAGGAATAGAAAGTCCCAGAAAAGAAAATTTAGGGGCTCGGCGCCTATAGCTCAACCGGCTAAGGCGCCAGCCACGTACACCTAAGGTGGCGGGTTCGAATCCCCAGCCCGGACCCGCCAAACAACAATGACGGCTGCAACCAAAAAATAGCCGGGCGTTGTGGCGGGCGCCTGTGGTCCCAGCTACTTGGGAGGCGGAGGCAGGAGACTCGCTTGAGCCCAGGAGTTGGAGGTTGCTGTGAGCTGTGATGCCACGGCACTCTGCCCAGGGGGACAGCTTGAGGCTCTGTCTCAAAAAAAAAAAAAAAAAAAGAAAATTTAGGGTGAGGGGTGGTGCCTGTGGCTCAGTGAGTAGGGCGCAGGCCTCATATACTGAGGGTGGCAGGTTCAAACCCGGCTCCAGCCAAATTGCAACAACAACAAACAAATAGCCAGGTGTTGTGGCGGGCACCTATAGTCCCAGCTATTTAGGAGGCTGAGGCAAGAGAATTGCTTAAGCCCAGGAGTTGGAGGTTGCTGTGAGCTGTGATGCCACAGCACTCTACTGGTGCCACAGCTGCCAACACTTAAAAATGGGGAGATGTTGGCTGTAGTCTCAGCTACTTGGGAGGCTGAGGCCAGAGAATCGCTTAAGCCCAAGGGTTTGAGGTTGCTGTGAGCTGTGAGGCCACAGCAATCTACCCAGGGCAATATAGTGAGACTCTGTTTAAAAAAAAAATGGGGAGATGTCCTGAAATTGTGGATCTGGCAGCCCGGGGTCTTCACTCCTGCACGCAGCCTCCCAGGGAGCTGTCACTTGCCCTCAGTCCCATTGGGCTTCTTCTGCTATTCTCAGAGGAACTGGCTGCTGCAACAATTTGAACTTGAAACTCCGGTTTTAAATTCTCCATGTTCAATGAGTCACATGGGACAGTGAGGCTTCTTAAAGGACACATATCCAAGGCTGTTTCAATGTTTTTGCTGTTTCAAGAAGGTGGCTTGTGTGAGCCCATGAGCCGGACGTGTGTCATCCAGCTTAGCCCTGAGCACAGAGCTGGCAGGGAAGTGAGCGACTGGATATCTTGTGATGCTTCTAGAAAGCTCTAGGTGCTCATGTTATGGCTGTGCAGAGCAGCCATGAGATTCCACACGAGCATCTGTGTGTCAGAGATGAGACCAAAGAGGGAGAAAAGCTCATGGGGTTTTCAAGCATCTTTTTTCCTTCCTCCCCATCCCCTTGCTGTCCAGGTCCAGGCCACAAACGCCGGGCGGGCGGCTGCTGCACCCAGCTGGGCTCCCTGTCGGCCCTGAAGCACGCTGTCCTGGGGTTGTACCTGCTGGTCTTCCTGATTCTCGTGGGCATCTTCATCTTGGCAGGTAAGAGCAGCCTGATTCTGTCCCACCTTTGGGGGTGAGGAGGGGAGATGTAAACCCACACACTGCCCTCATCACCATGGAAACCACGGAGGAAGTGGCTGGCTGGTCTTCAGCAACCCACTTGTCTGTGTGGGGGTGGCTGGCGGTGCTTATAGGAGTCTCTGAGTTCAGCAGCAGTGACCGAGCTGCTCAGAGTGGTTCCTGACTGTTCCTGCATCTTCATGGGACATTGTGTGTCACACTGGGGCTCTCTGGACCTCTGGGGCATGGTTTGCAGTGAGCAGTGGCATGGTCTTAGCTTCTTGTCCTGGGGTGACATGAAAATGGTCAATGAGGCACTTGGAGTTGTGGCAAACCTGCTACCCTATGTCTCCTGCAGGCGGGATGGCTTCGCCCCAGTTCGGCCAGGCTGTCCTCCCCAGTTTCTGTCTGCAACACAGGCAGGTGGTGATGGGCTGAGGCTTGGAGCAGAGTCTCCAGCCAGGGAGGAGAGCTGTCAGGCCGCTAAGGGACCAGATGGGGGTGCTGCGTGGCTTTGAGCTAGATGCTGAGGAGCTGGAGCTGGTAGGGGCAGGTGGCCGTGTGGGTCTCCTCCTGACTCCCACCTGGAGCGCAGGCTGCTCAGTTCCAACCTTTCTCCTATGTGGGCCTTGACAGAGTAAGGTCAAGGGATCAGTTTATTTCAATTGACGCATCTCACATGAGCACCATGCCTGGATTAGGGACCCCACTATATAAGACCTGGAGCTTCTCTGAAGAAGTCTCAGCAGTGTCCTGCAAATAAGCCCCATCTCAGGGAGGGACATGACGGGCTTTGTGGTGGGGTGTGGACATCAGGAGCGTGCATGGGGCAAGTGTGGCTGCTGCACACGCCTAGGAGGGCGGGATGGTGGGCGCAAGGCTGCTGGCCCGGCACAGCTGACCGCAGTGCTGAGGGTGGGGTCCTTCAGTGACCCCTAGGGCGGGAATCTGGATGGTCAAGCCCTAACAGCTGACCTTTTGCTGGAAATCCTGAGGCAATACCCAGGACCTCCCTGGTTTTGACTCCCTTTCCATCTTACAGGACTAGTCACTTGGGTGTTGTAATGGGGTGTTCGATGCTGCCAGCGCCTTTGGGGCAAAGGCCATACGTCGTATGATGTCTGTCCCCCAGCCAGAGACCTGGGGTGGGAGGAGGGCGGCCAACAGCAACAATGAGAGAACCTCATGATTCAACCCGGAGACCGAAAAACAGTGTCCAGCAAGATCTATCATGGGCTAAGCCGGCCAGGGGATGCTTTGAACATGTTCTTGGGCTGCTCAGGGAGAGCTTGGGATCTGGGTTTTGTGGGTTTGGCTGCCAGGACCATAACACATTTTTGGAATGTTTGGAAAGCATTTCAGCGCAGCAGGAAGACCAGAACAGGAACTTTTAGGTGACAGATGCAGAGAAGCTCTGCAGAGCAAGAACTTCGAGGTGACAGATGGGAGGCAGAGGAGGAAGCCCAGGCTGGTGGGGGGGTGCCTGCGACAGGTCCCCAGAGGCCTGGAGGGGCGTCAACTCCTGGGAAAGAGAAGACACGTACAGGGTGACCATTCTCTTCTGGCGTCTGGAGCGCTGCCCTGCAGAAAGGGTGGACATGCCCCGTGTGACGCAGAGTGAAACTAGCATGGACGGGGGGGTGGGAGGGTTTCTAAGGAGGCAGATTCACATCCAAAACAGACCAGAGTTTTCTGACAAGTGGTGGGGGCCAGTGTGACATGGAAGGGCTCGCCCCTGGCTTGGAGATTGAATGGGGTTTATGGTGACATCCTGGAAGCTTCAGAAAGGGGTGTGGGATATGGTTTCTCAATCTAATAAAAATGTCTCCAAGCTTCCTTTGTCATTCTAGGTGGAAACTTCGGAGGTTTTTCAATCACCTTTGAACCTGAAATTTCTGGGTACTACATTGCCTTTATGGAACAAATATTTCAAGTGGATTGAACTTTATCTCTTGGCTCTGGGGTCTAGCCACTGTCACCTCCTTGGGTTCTTACCTGGAAAATCTTGTTGGCCTCTGGGAGAGGTGTGATGAGGGTGGCCAATGAGAGAGTGCAGTCACCAGCTGCTCCTCCCACAGGAGGGGACTTGACAGTTGGAGGCTGAGTCTGGTATTCTTTAAGACTGTCTGATCTCAGTAAGGAGGGTTTTCGGGTGACCTGGTCAAAGAGCTCCAGTGATGCTCCCTGTCAGCAAATACCAAGATAGTGGGGAGAGCCCCAGTTCAGTGGGAACCAGAGCTTGCCTGGCCTTCTGTTGGATCTTGGGACCCTCTCTTGGGCAGAATTCACGCCCATGCTCTGGAGAGGGCCCCTTGCACAGGAGATCTGTTTAAATCCCTCTTTAGGCCGGGTGCAGTGTCTCACACTTGTAATGCTAGCACTCTGCGAGGCTGAGGTGGGAGGGTCCCTTGACCAGCCTGAGCAAGAGTGAGACCCCTTCTCTATTAAAAATAGAAAACTTATCTGGACATTGTGGCATATGCTTGTCGTCCCAGCTACTTAAGGGGCTGAGGCAAAGGCTTGAGCTCTGAAGTTTGAGGTTGCTGTGAGCTATGATGACGCCATGGCACTCTATCCCAGGTGACAGAGCAAGACTGTCTCAAAAACAGAACAAAACAAGGCCAAGTGTGGTGGCTCACACCTGTAACTCTAGCACTATGGGAGGCTGAGGAGGGTGGATCACCTGAGTTCAGGAATTCCAGACCAGCTTAAACAAAAGCAAGACCCCCAGCTCTACTAAAAATAGAAAACTAGCTGGGGGTTGTGGCAGGCACCTGTAGTCCCAGCTACCCAGGAACCTGAGGCAAGGGGATTTCCTAAGCCCAAGAGTTTGAGGTTGCTGTCAGCTAGGACACCACAGCACTCTACCCAGGGAGACAGAGTGAGACTTTGCCTCAAACAAAACAAAACACCACTCTTCAACCTCAGAACCTCCTTATCAACACGAATCTCATGCATCTTGCAACTGAATGACAAAATTATCCTCTGCAACCAAGTGCCATAACTAAATACCCAATTGGCAAGTTCTCATTGGAGTGTAAATGCTTATTGTCACTGTTTTCCAATATTATGAAAATTCTAATCTAATTACATTACACTATTACTCGTCTAAGCCCCACATGGGACTTCTCTCAATTCATCTCCCTGCCCAAATATTCCAACTAAAAGGCAAATGCTATACTTTGTGTTTATGCATCACCCCAGCTTCCCCTGTCAGAAGGTTAGTCCAGGCACTGTCCAAATCATTCCCTCAGCTACACCCTCGGCCCACCATCTAGCCCTGCGCTTCTGACCAGCATCCTCCTGGGAACTTTCTTCCAATGTCTCTGTGCCACCACTGGGTCCTCACCCCTCAGTGACAGGCTCTCATCAGCCCCCAGGAGGCTGTGACATGTTTTGTTTATTACCTGGGCCATTAGCTCCTATTATGTTTTCATTCTGTTCCTGACTATTTTCTGGACTGTACAGACCCCTGGGTTTCAGTTCAGGAACTAGAGGATTGAGATCAGATGCCGTGTGGTCGGGAGGTCCTCAGTCTAGCACGTCTCTGAGCTTCTCTGGGATGGCGTTACAGGTCCAGAGAGAGTTCAGTCTGACCCGTGACTTTTCTGGGACATTGCTGCAATGACAAAAAGTGGTCCTCAGGAACCATCTCTTCTTCCCCTTTCTTGTTACAAATCTATTGACGAATTTGAGTTCCCACTGTGGAAAGGAACAGCAGAAAGTGGAAGCAAATATCTGGGGTTTTAATGTGGGGAAACTATGGCATCACAGCAGTGTAGACCAAGGATGCTGGACCGGGAGGGTTCCTGATAAAAGACAGGCTCGTCACAACTTTCTTAGCAGCAGCACTGGGTCATTGCCATGATCATCATCCTTAGCAAGCATTTAACTTGTGCACGAGTGTTTGGTGGGTGCAGGACAGAGGACAAACCCTGGCAATAAACAGTCATGAGATGTGGTCCCACACTGGAAAGATTTATAAACACACACACACACATTGGGGCAACAAAATACAGCTTCTACTATGTGACCAGTTACACAAAGGAGAGCCTCATACCCGAGGGCTCGCCTGGTCAGGGAAGGCCTCAGCCTAGGGAGACTTGTCCACATGGGTTTCAGCTGAGCACCCCTCTTTTTGTTGAATTTGTTTCAAGCAGACCTGTCCTTGGGCTCCATAGAGAGCACTGTGCCCAGAACCCACCTGCATTAACCTGTGGATTAGTGATTCCATGAAGCATCTCGGGAATAAAAGCATGATGCCAACAGCTCTTTTTAGGACACTCTGTCAGAAACAGCGCCATGAAATTTTATCTTTTGCTTATTGCAAGGATGTAGTTGAGGATGGTGTGTATCACATAATGCCAGCTTCAGAGGACCCAGGCAGAAATCATCTGCTGTCTTAGTCTTAGAAGGAAGGATCTTTTCTTTCCTTGAGGAAATTGTTTTAGCCTTACAGACACTGTGAATCTGAAAGTCATTAAAATCACTTTCTAGGAGGTAATTGGCACAAACTATAAGCTGTCAACCTGCTTTACAATGTGTGAATTTAAGAGGTAATTGAAAGAGACGCCTGGGGAGTACTCAAGTAGCTCAGTAGGCAGGGCTGGACCACACACACTGAGGGTCAGGTAAACAACAACAACAACAAATAGCTGGGTATTGTGGCAGGTGCCTCTAGTCCCAGCTACTTGGGAGGCTGAGGCAAGAGAAGCCCAAGAGTTTGAGGTTGCTGTGAGCTGTGATGCCATGACACTCTACCGAGGGCAACATAGTGAGACTCTGTCTCAAAAAATAAATAAATAAATAAAATAAAATAAAATAAAATGGAAGCCTGGAGACAGATGTGTGGTCCTCTCAAGTACATAGACTTTTTTTTTTGCAGTATTTTGGCCAGGGCTGGGCTTGAACACACCACCTCCGGCATACAGGATCAGGGCCCTACTCCTTTGAGCCATAGGTGCCGCCCCAAGTACATA